GTGGTTTGAGCTCACCATGGTGTTGTGCTGCTGGCTCTGCTGTGGATGTATTCTTTGATGCTGCATGGTCACCTGTCACCTCTGCTGCGGGCTCTGCCAGTGCAGGTGGTGCTTGTGGTTTGAGCGGCTCACCTTGTTGCTGTGCTTGCCCGTTGTTTGAATGTGATGGATGTTCAGTGTAAAGGGCTTGCTTTGCGCTCGCTCCGTGTAAGTCGTTTGGGTGAAGCAACGGCTGAAAGGTGGCTGTCGCTGGCAAGTGTAGTGTCCTGGCGGTCCTGGCAGATAGTGTGTTTTCAGAAGCCGGGACTAGGATATCATAGTGGGAGTAATGTTGGTTTGTCTCTGTGTTGACCAGCCACTGAAACAGCAGATGGACGTCTGGAATCCGATCCATGCCGTAGATGGCATCCCTCTTGACTGCTGTCGGTGAGAACTTCTTGATGTGCAAATATGCCTAGGGCAATGGCAGTACAAGACTGCAGTGCCGTATTCTTACTCTCAGCTAAAGACTTCCTCAAAACTAGTGCTGTACAGTGTACTGTATTGTACAGTAAAAAATTCTTTTGTAAAACAAATAAGAACTATCAACAAAAAAGTGCAGTTAGAATACAAACATGCCTGCCTCGTCATCAATAGTGCAGCGGATGGACAAGTTCAACACTGTGCCAAGCCATGATAATTCACCAACGTCAACTGACAGATGCTCCTTCGCTGTAGCGGCCATGCTCAGCAACAATGGGTTTGTTTCATCTGTGCTGGAAATTGCTAGGTCCCTGAGAGCATGGGCTTTGGCAGCCTCCAATGCGGCGGTCCTCCGGTTGGTTGCATAACCAAGCTCGGTTCGGGATACCGCATTCCACATTGTAAATTCCAAGCTCCCCAAAATCGCATGGAAGCAGCACAAACCATCTGGCGGTACACAGTGTTTTTCATAGGCTGTGGTGTCCTTGAGAACGGCTGTAGCAGCAAACTCCTTGATGTGCTTGTAGAGAGCGGAAGAAACCAAAGCAACGGCCTGCCATACGGTACGGACACATGTTGACTCAGTTCGGGTCAATTTATGGGAAATTGAAAACAATATACTGGACAGTGTACAGTACTATGTACTGTACTTCAAAAGAGTCTTACCGCACAGCGCGCCATATGAACACATACTACAGTACTGTACTGTATATTGTATTGCACCATGTATCATATCTCTCATTGTATGGTTCTTTCTGTGTTTGTATCTACAGCACTGCATGTACAGTGTTAGCTGCTTTGGTCAGAAAGGCGCCTGGTCTTGGAGTGTTACTGCAACTTGCGTAGCAGGCAGAACCACAAAGTTGTCACCTTTCTGGCGGTTGACCCCTGACTGAGTGACAGACACAGCTCGAAAGGATAGTTTGCTCGAGTCGGTGTCCTTTTCTGCAAGCCATGCTTTTGTAGATTCCATGCCAGCCATGACAAGGACAAGCATGTGATCCTGGGCATCCCATAGTTGCTGGAGTTGATGCTCACATTCTTCACGCCCATCCTCACACCATGAAACCATGCCCAGGACTTCATATTTGAAGTCTTTCCACCGGCTGATGACATCTGGGTTCTCCATAACTTGCAGCACAGTTGGTCCAAGTATCACATCTTGCACCCGGTCATCTCGGCCAGCCAGTACACCTACCTGGGTCGAGTCAGAAGTTTCAGCTAAACGGCGTATCAGGCCCTTGTATACATGGATCGGGCTTGGAGGTAGCTCCGGACCATGAGGCTGGCTGCTTTCCAAAAACTCTGCAGTGACGTCCCGCAGCTGGTCCAGTTGGTCGGGCTTGGCTTCTGAGACCGTGCCAATATCTTGAAGAATTTTCTCCATGTCACCTTCTTTGGCAAGAGTTTGCATGAGCTTGGCAGCCTTCACCTCATCCTCACTGCTAGCCACCACTGCCTTCATGGACTTGGGAAGCCGTCCACCCTGCAGGTTACCGGAGCAAGCAAGCTGTAAAAAACACTATCCTGCAGTTTAAGCGCTGCAAACCTTCAACACTACATCCCACAATGGCTTTAGCAATTTTCTTTTACAACTACCTATAAAAAAACGCAGTTAGAATATGCACTCCATCCATCGCCTTCTCTGCAGCCTGCATGGCCATCATCCAATCCACGCTTTCACCAAAAGACTTGAATGACTGCTCGATGACCTGCTTGGAACCTTTGAAGGATGCAGTGAAACCAGTTGGATTGGCCTTCACCTTCATACAGTCGGTGCCCATATCACCAACAGCCTTGCTGAGGACCTCAGTGATGATGTAATCCTCCAAGATCTTGTCATTCCCCTCAGCAAGGTTTCTCAACAATGCCGTTCGTTGGACGGCAATCACGGAGTGTCGACCCTTCATCCAATGTTTGGGCTCACACCCAGCAGACTCCAACAATGCTTTGCGGCCTTTGGGGTCTTTGAGTACGCAAGCTGTCTCAAAGGCCTTCAGCTTTTTTTATCACATTCTCCTCGTAGACCTCAGAACAACAGAGAGCCAAGCGTTGATCACCCGTCGAGTCATAGGTCTTGTTTTGGAACTTGCGTATGCTGCCTTCAAACCTGACCTTGACAAAGCCCTTGCAGATGGTGATATGGTCCTCAGTTGCCGTTGAGACACGGGGCACGGTTTGCAGTGGATTTGGGATAGTTGGCAGTGGACCTGTGGTTGTGTGGCTGCTTGGTGTGTTTTTTAAATAGGGGTGAGGCTAGTCATAATGAACCCACGGTACCTTAAAAACCAAAAGAATATATTACTAGTGTATGTATTGTACAGCATTGCAAACGGGAAAGTACAAAGAGGTAACTAAGGAGTGCTTTGAACATCAAAGGCTCACTCAATGGTTTACTGACAACTTCTGGTTCCTGATCATCCTTTTCCAAGTCAGAGAGACCTTCTTCCGGCGGTGGCTCACTAGGAGGAGCTAGTGGAGGATCAACATCATCAGGTGGCTTCGTAGACCTGCGCACCCTTGCATAGTCCTGGGAAGTCTTCACCTGCAGCTATCAGCTAGCGGTCAGGTTTGCTGCAAATAGACAATCTACATACGGTATACCATTTATGCGCTATATGGATATTCTTTGTTGTAAACAGTGCCAGAGGCCACCGTTGCAAGTTACAATAGAGGAAATGCAGTTAGAATTCAAAGAAATCAAACATATTACATATTCCTTTGAGTTTCTATCCTCCGTCTACTGAAAGCTTTTAATCATACCGCCATAGCTCTAACCTTGTAAAGTTCTTCGTTGTTGAGAGACACAAAAAGCGTTCTCCTTAGGCCTTTGCAAAAAAAACAAGCCTTACTGTGAAAGAGATGCACTTAGAATTCAATGAATTGAATAATGCCCCTGTAAGTGTCTATTTTCCTCCTACTGAAACCATTCAACCATACGACCAAAATTGCCGGCGTTAGGAGAGCATCGATAAGATAGTGTTCTATTTGGGCCCTTGGACAACCCTTTCAGTGAAAGGAATGCAGTTAGAATTCAACCATTGAATCATACCCCTCTCAGACTCTCAGCTTCCATCTTCCTTCCCTTGACAGCCTTCAACCATGCTAGTCCTGTAACACTGTAACACATATTCCGACTTTAACACAGAAACGGTAAGAAACTGTAGCCCTTTCTGTTCTCCTTATGCGCTTAGACAACCCTTTCAGTGAAAGGAATGCAGTTAGAATTCAGGAATTGAATGATACCCGTCTCAGCGTTCATCTTCCTTTCCTCGACAGCCTTCAACCACACTAGTCCTTTAACACATATTCCGGCTTTTAAACAGAAACGATAAGAAACGGTAGCCCTTTCGGTTTTCCTTATGCCTTTAGACAACCCTTTCAGTGAAAGGGACACAGTTAGATTCAAACATACTCCACTGAGCAATTTCTTGCCTGAGCAGAAGCCTGCTCCAAAAGCTCTGCTGCCACATGGGCCGACGCCGACGCTGAATTCATGGTGAATTCCAACCAAAAATTGCATGGAAACAGCTTACCGCTCTCTACAGTAGTTTGCAGTGAACAGTGGTGATTATGTTTTGATTCGCTGTGCTAGCTCCCGGGATTCCCAAAATGTCAGAATCTCCTAGTGTGCAGCCTGGTTTTGCTTAGAGGCATGTGCAGCATTGCATGTTGAGATTCGAGCTTTGGCATGCTGGAACGGAAGTCGTGCACCTGTGTTTTCCCATCTGTCACAACCCTCTCAGTGAAAAGAATGCAGTTAGAATTCAGCGTTCCATCTTCCTTGCCTTGACAGCCT